TCCTTTTTTTCTTATGTGTCAGAATAGGCTTCCATATGATCGCATCATGCAATTCTGTAAATAACTTTAGCTTTACTTCATGTTTCATCAGAGTATTTTTGTACAACGTATATGAGATTCATATTCAAAATATTAAACAGACGTTTTTGTTCTTTTATTTCATTTATGACAAACAATACACAACTAGTTGTCATATGAGAGAAATAATCTTAACGTCTGCAATCCATTGTTAACCCTTTCTCAGGCAGTTCATCATGTGATGTGTGTGTGTGTGTGTGTGTGTGTGTGTGTGTGTGTCTGGTATTCCCTAAGTCATGGGGACCAAATGTCCCCACAAGGATAGTAATGCCAGTAATTTTTGTCCTGTTGGGGACTCCATGAGGAAACAAGTTTATAAATCATACAGAATGAGGTTTTTTGAAAATCTAAAAATGCAGAAAGTTAGGGTAAGGGAATAGAAAATACAGTCTGTACAGTATAAAAACAATTACGTCTATGAAGAGTCCCAATAAAACACGGCGACCAGTGTGTGCGTGTGTGTGTGTGTGTGTGTGTGTGTGAGAGAGAGAGAGAGAGAGAGAGAGGGAGCTTTAGGGAAGTCATGACTCTGTATATCATTAAGGCTTTTGCTACACATGTGAGTTGACATTACGTATGAACTTAGTTCACAGGACAGTCTTCCACTCTGGAATATATCCAAGTCCAATACATTATCTTGTTGTTTCTGGCAAAGAGAAGAATAACTCCTTAATACAGTACTGTATATCTCCCTCAGTACTCTATAGCTACTTATCAGATCTCCTCACAATATGCAAGTTTTAATAGGATAGTTCACCCAAAAAAGAAAATTCTGTCATCATCTACTCACCTTCATGATTTTTAAATTTTTTGGGTAAATTATCCCTTTACATTCAAATAAATTCAGACAACTTGTACACTATAAAATATCATAATCGGGGTTCTAATATGTGTTCAATAAAAAAGTATGTATGTGTGTGTGTGTGTGTGTGTGTGTGTGTGTCTATAGGAATGGGAATGGATTTTAAACTTGTACACTATAAAATATCATAATCGGGGTTCTAATATGTGTTCAATAAAAAAGTATATATGTATGTATGTGTGTGTGTGTGTGTGTGTGTCTATAGGAATGGATTTTATACTGTTGCTGGGAGAGGAAGTGGTAAATATGGTTTGAGGCAAAGATCTATTTGCAAGCAATTTAACGTAAAGAACTAACAAAATCAACATGAAGCAGGCTCAGGAACACGGAAACAGCAAACTCACACAAACACAGGAGAGACATGACATAATGAGGGCTTAACGGCATCAGCTGAAAAGGAAAGCCATTTCAGAGGCAATTTCCTTTTTTTATTGAAAGTTTAGAGGCAAATATTTATTTCTTTGAAATGTGAACCATTTATTTATTTATAATAAGAGCAAAAACATATTAAAAAATCAATCAATTTTCATTTCATGTTGGAATAAATAGTGGCTTGTCTCTTGGTAAGCACAATTTCAACACTCCAAAATAGTATTTATTTATATGTACAAATCTTGTCTTTTTCTTGTTGACTGTGTTTCTGATTCAGAATATGCTATGTGCAAACACCTGTCCACAGTGCTGTGAAATAATGGCTTTGGTTCTGCAGTGAGATATCTCACACAGGTGTTCTGCCACACAGATGTGTCTGCTGAAATAATTTTACTGCCAGAAGCACAACTGGTCACATCAGTTTCACATAAACATGCCTCTGTGTTTCGAGACACTTGCACGACAACAATCACAATAATCCACAAGTAATCCTCACAACTCCAGTTCATCAAATAACATCTTGTGAAGTGAAAAGCTAATACATGTATTAATCCATAATACATAAAAACACTTCCTCCAGTGATAAAGTCCATCCCCTGTTATACTCTCACATTAAAATCCACCAACATATTTTTTTAGAACCGTTTTGGACTGTTTTTGTTTGTAAATTGCGCTTGATTTGTGCATATTTCTCTCCTGATTCAGATGAATTGACTTATTCTAAATCAGGAGAGGAATATGGGTGCAGTTGTGGCCTAATGGTTAGAGTCGGACTACACATCAAATCACTTATTCACTGGAGAAACAATATTATGGATAGAGGACTTGTAGTTTAGCCAGAAGAAACTGTTTGAAGTAAAAAAAAAAAAAAACATCTTAATGATGAATTTAGCACTGCTTTTCACTGTACAAAATGTTAATTGATAAACTCGATTACTTCGATTACTCGTGTTTTTATCAGCTCTTTAAACACTCATTCTGACGGCACCCATTCACTTCAAATGATCCATTGGTGAACAAGAGATGTAATGCTAAATTTCTCCAAATGCGTTATAATGAAGAAACAAACTCATATCTTAGATGGCCTGTTGGTGGGTAAATAGCTATTTTTTTGGGTGAACTATTGCTTTATGTAAAACAAACAATGAGCAAACAGTGCTGTCTGAACAGTGAACATATTATATTTGCCTTATATAGAAAAAATTACAGGCTATTACTAAACACATCATAATTTAATAAACCTGAATAAACAAGTCCCATCTGGTGTTTGCGAGTCATTTCCCAGGCCGCACACTGTGGTAAAAGTTCTGGTTTTGTGTTTTGTCAAAGATTTGACCAAAAAACCTAACAAAAGTGTCATGCCACCTAGAGTCCCAGCCATAAATCATTCAATGTAAGATGTTAAACTGTCATTGCTAAATTAATACATTTTGATTTATTACAACAACTTCTAGACCCCTTCACCTCGTTCTTCTGGGATTTGACAAACAGACTTTTGAGAAGCAGTGTGACTGTCTTTGGTGCTGGTGGGGAAACACTTAACTGTTGGAACAACCTCATGGGGGTTCTGGTCCGTTTAAAGGCAGGTAGGTCTTTTCCTTTGCTCTATATTAAATTCCACTGAAGGAGGTAAACACAGCTGCTCAGCTGTCTAAGCTGTCAGGTGGATGGCAAGACAAGATACTCATCCGCTTTAAACATGGATCAACTTTATTCCTCAAGTAACTTTTCAAAGTGTGCCAGTGCCTCAAACAGCTGACTTTTGTAATAGAGCCCCTCCCAAGAAATCATAAATTAAGTCCCATTCCTCCTTCCCTCAGTCAGTTCCCCATACCATTTCACTGGTAATACGAGTTCGAAAGTCAACTCGTATTGATTTGTAGCAGTGCACCGCGAAAGACAGCATGTCATTGCACAATATGCACTCAGCCAGGCACAAACACAGCCAGCTGTTTAGCAGGGATGAAAGGAAAGATCCTTTAAGTGTGGGCACTTCTGATACTAAGAGGATCAATCCTCAAATAAATAAATAACTTAAAATCGTTGTGTAGGAATATCTTATATATGTATCATTTGTCATTTTGTCACATATATTTACTATATTTAAATATAATATAAAATTACTATACTTTAGTCTTATCTTATTTGCAATTAGTCTTCGATATTTGTTTATTTACTACTGTCAATTACAGAACTATTTTACCAAAAACAATAATCAAATAAACCCATTATTATAAATGTCACATTTTTGCTTTTCCTTACTGTTGCAATGTCCGACAAGCCATGGCGCTCTCATGCCACACACCATGTGGTGAAAAATAGCCTACATCGCGGAGCAAAGACGAAACAAACAACGCTCTGACAGACAAGACAGAGCAGGTTACTTTAGGTATGAAACAAAGTCTCAGCTTTCAAATTTTGCCCTTTTTTAATTCAAACAATTTAGTTGCTCTTTAATGTGTCGTGACAGATCGCTGTAGCGCCTCAGTTCAAGCAGCACGTGAACCGATCATCTCTTCCTCTTTACTAGTTATATCGCGAAATAAACATGAATGAACATCAGAATGTATCTTGTTTCAACCGCGGAAACACATCAATACAAATGCCTTGTCCAAATACCCACACTTGCTGTCTTTGCACTTGACCACTTGACTATACTTATATGACGTATTTCCTGTATTTGACCCAAGTGTTCAAGTGAGCATGAAGACCACAAGTGTGTGTACAACTTTTAATTTACCTGATGGGACACACTTATAGTGTTGTAAAAACGCAAGTGTTTACAGAGTTTTATTTTCAATACTTTGCTATTTAAAATCAACTTCTAAATGTCTGTTCAGTAGTCCCTATAACATGACAATTTTAATTTGTGGTGCTTCTAATTAAGTGATAAAAAGCAGTTGCAAATGTTGTACAAAATAAATAGCCTATTCTAATCTTTGCCGCAATAAAACGTGTAGCACTTTGTTTTTACTACCAAATTATATGTAATATTTTATTATTATTCATATTTAACTTACATTGGAAAGATTTCCGTGACCTCTCGCGCGATCTTGGCAAAAAGTCTCACGATTGATTTCCAGAACATGATGCATGATGGGACACACTAAGCCTCACACACTAAGCCTAAGTGGGGGGGGCCAAGACCGCAAGTGTGGGTATTTGGACAAGGGGACACTTTTTTTCCCAAGTTCAAGTACACTGACGTTAATCTACTCTCAGGTCTGATTTTATTGTTGGACAAAAATGGCAGATTTGGCATTATGATTGGTCAGATCGCCTGTCAATCAAACTCGAAGGGTCAATTGATATACATAAAATATGTAGATGTACACATATACAAATTCTAAATATAAATAAAAAATGTATTGTAGACTGTGAATGATAAGAAAGAGCCTCAAGCATTTGCTTTGCACAATGCATGTGAAAGAGACCATCTTCTTACAGCATCCAGTGATTCACCCTGTAGCATCATGTGACTTGGACATCCCCTGTGAAACAACAGCTCCTTTCCAACTTTAAAAAAAAAATCCACAACTTCCCCCATAATAGAAGGAAGGGAAACCATAATAAACAAGGTAATGTTGTAGTTAGGAAACAGCCAGGGAAAGAAGAGAAGTGTAATTTAATAAGCAATGACAAAAAAAGGAGCTTGTAAGCTCGCACTCGCTCGCTGGTCGAGTGGGAAAAAATGATGACGTCAACTCTCTATGGGTCTGTGCAATGCTGCGATCAAGCACATTCATATGTCCAGTTACCCAAACGAAACAGTGGAGTTTGAATGAATGATGAGACCACGTACGAGGTAAGCCTTTCAGCGGTTTTTCTGGATGAACGTGTGTATTGCGTGTTTATGGATTGTGTTGTCGTGACCTGAGAGTGTATTATCACCGCTGTCCGATCAGAGCACGGAAGGCAGGGTAATGCTGATTGATGATGATGATGATGGTATATGCGGTAAACGGTTTATTCTCTAGTCATACAAGACACGTATGGAGCTGTTATAAAAATCAATGGTTGATCGCACAGACCGGCAAAACTACAATTTGCTCACACTTTTGCATGTGCTTTAATTTATTTCAGTGCTTAGAATTCGCTGTTTAAAATGAACGATTTGCATCTTATTTGCATGTGATATCCTTTCCTCTTGAATAATGAAGCCGGTTCTGTTTTGTGTCATGTCACTCGCGCAGCCGCGCTCATGTAAGGATAGTCCAGAGCACAGCCTGTGGGCGAGCATGTAACCGGTGTGGCTCCCCAACAGTTTCACCATCAGTTATTGCAGTGACCTCTCCAACGCCAAGGCCCTTAAATTGTCCAAGACAATATTCCAAACCCAGGGGCGTGTCTAGAGCATTTTAAACAAGTGAGAGTGGAGAGATTCGTCCTCACGCGAGCCTATCGCAAGACATCTGGTAGGGGGGGCACCTGGAGAGATTCGTCCTCTCGCGAGCCTATCGCAAGACATCTGGTAGGGGGGGCACCTGGAGAGATTCGTCCTCTCGCGAGCCTATCGCAAGACATCTGGCCTTTCAGTTTAAGATATTTCTTTTGATACTTTACTGTTCTTCAGGGTTTGAGAAAAAAGGTTATTGGTGTAACTTCTTTTAGTCATCTTGATGGCCCCTTCAGCAGGGGCGAAAATTTCGTCTACAATTCGGGACAATAAACATAAAATTTCTCAAGAGCAATTTTTGAAGGGGACACAAATAATACAGCTAAAATTGTACTTGTAAGGATAGGTATAGCCTACACAGAGGAAAGCCTTACTACTATTAGTGTAGCGGGGAGACTGTGCCAAATTAGACAACTTCAAGCTGTTGTGGTTGTGCCCGTTGTAGACACTCTCCGTCACAGTGTTGCCAAGTCCGCGGTTTTCCCGTGGAATTGGGCTACTTTATCTCTGTTGCCGCGGGTTGTTTTTCATGTCCACGGGTTTAAGCGAACCCAATAACGTGTATTTTATCCCCCGGAACGCGATTTTTTACCGGGGTTAGTTTGGGCTAGTTTTGAGTAGCCTAGCAATTGGGTGGGGTTTGTTGTGAAATCTCTTCCGTCAAGCAGGTAACGTTATTATTGCTAACATAGCAACTCATCGAAAAATACATTGGCATAATCTGTATTAAAGAGAAAATAATCACTTTATCCGATGTTTAAGTGAACAAAATAGCCTTGACAGCCTTACATACTGGAGTTCCACAACTATTGGCTTTGTTCTCTCTCACCGGACTCCTGTGTGTGTAGGTGATGTAAAAGAGGAAAG